CATCTTATAAAGAAACATGACTCTATGTTTACAAGACAGAGAGGCTGAAATAAACATGATATCAGATGTACAAATATATGTCTGAACAAAATTTAAATTGAACAAAAGAAAAGTAACTATATACACGTAAAACAGACTAAGAACTGAAAAAAATGAAAATATTAAAAAATATTGTGGTGGAAGATAAATATGGAGATCAAAAAATGCTTTTAAAATGGTAATAACGGAGAAATTAAACATTCATAAAACAGTGAAGAAGATCTGTAAAACAGGAAGGGAGCATGAGACTCTGAGTTGGGCAAAGAGACAATTCCAAATGTTAGCATTCTTGACTGCCAAACTGTGATAGTAAGTACATGTACTCATTTGGAGATGGGATCCTTCAAAGTTGCATTCCGTATTCTGTCTCAGGTCTTGTACTGTTCAAATATGTAGGATGAGAAATCAGTCAAGTTATTGGGAAATGAGAACTCCTTGATTCCTAAGAGCCCCAAACCAATAATATTTACATGTAAAGTGATTTCTCAAAAATGTTACAGACAACATATTTGTTTTTGTTTTACCAGCGTTGGTTTAAAATGTTTTGTTACCACCCCAAGACCCAGAGAATGAGCAATGATAGAAATTGATTGAAAATCTCCATTATAGGAAATGATTATTCACTTACAGGAGCACTTCACAACACGTGCATATTGTTATGTACTACATGTACAGCAAACACTACTTGGCTTGGTGCAGCCACAGTCGCTTTGTTATCGTTTGTTTGCCTTTTTATGTTTAACACATGCACAAGCACAAAAGGCATTCTAATAGCTCATACAAATCTTTACAGAAAAACGTCGGGCTCCAATCCTGTGGGATACAATAGAATAGATACTGCTTAATCTCTGATGCTTGGTTTTAAAAAAAAAAGCATTCTGCCTGACAAAGTCTACAAACAAAATGTCATTTTTTTCTCCACGAAGCATTTTGCATTATAGAGATTTCCATCTGCCCTTCAACTTCAGCTTTTAAGGTTTAATATGAGAAGGCAAAATTGATACGGTACATGTAAGTAATTTTTAAAAAGTGATCGCTTGAAAACTGGACTTCAGAAATGACAGACAGAATATTTGAAAAACGTCCCATTGGTTTTTTCTTGTCACTTTTGCACTCCATATCTTGTAAATATAAAATCCCGGATGACCGTACCTCCTCCAGCTTGCTGTTGGAATTGGGTTGGATGCGAGGAGAAACGGGGAGGAAGATGCGGATTCATCTTCCAGATGGCACCACCTGTTTCAGATGATAAAGGAGACAGGTGTCGTTTTTAAAAGGGGCGGGGAGGCCAGGGAAGATGGAAAGAGATGGTTACAAAACGACAGCTCAGGCATCAACGATCGCTGTATCTCTCTTAATCTGCCGGATTACTATGGCCACGTGAGATGAGCGAAAATGAGGTGTGGTGGTGGTTCATTTGTTTTGCGTATCATTTGGAAGCAGACCTGTCTAAAGGTGCGGGATTTGTAATGAAGAGCCAGCAGATGGAGTGTGAACTTTGTATTCAAACTGTCTGCAAGCCTTGTCTGGCATAATCCTGTGGGGGGGGGCATCTTCATTATTAAAAGGTACTATCTGAAGCATAAAACAAAACAAAAAATGAAAGTCTAAGGGGAAGACCCTCGTCGGCATTGTAAAGGAAATAAAGAGGAATTACCACTAGCCTAACATTTGGTAAGGGTTAGAGCATTTCGCTTCTTTTATAAGTTGATTATAAATGAATTTTTCGGAGCGGTATTTTTAAATCGGCTCCTGAAATTTTTCGTAGGGAATGGGGGCGCACTTCAACAATTTAGGCAGGTTCTTCTAGTCTGGTATACAAAATGCATATAATGAACATGAATAGCCGAGTCTGAGGTGAGACTAAAATTGCGGAACGCTGGCTCAGAGAGAGGTGAGACAGAGAGGTATTGATCGACCGAGGCCTAATTAATTCCAATTTCTAGAAAACAAGTAAGAATTTCCAATTTTATCCTTGCGTCAGCTAAGTATATTGTAGTTTGCAAAATGTGCTCGAACGTACTACAGTACCAACGTTCATGATGATTGAGCCAACATGGCCAAGCCGTTTTGCGCTACTGTAAAGTTATGGTAACTAGTGCCTTCTCCTGCAGACTGGGGCTATAAACTGCAAATCCCCCTTATTTATATATCGGTGGTTTGATGGGGTGATCGAGTGATCCATACACGCAAACGGGGTTTTATAGAAGGCATTTTCGCGGAGTCTCCACTTTTTGTATTGACCGTCGCGTTGTGGGGATGAGGAACGCGGCGGTAGTCCTGCATGTCCAGTGTGGGGCTAGGCTACTTACAACAACTTAACCTCAAGCATGTCAAGGTTACACTGTCGGGTTCATCGTACATTAGGGGTCGTGTGGATAGTATGGGTACTGACTACTGTTCGCCACACTGTCCAAGACTGAGTAGGCTAGCTGGTGCCATGGCTAAGCCTTAACCTCCAAACACACGCGTACACGTCACACTGCATTTCCATTCCATTTGAACATCTTGAATGAGGCACTGTTTTGAGGGAGTTCGTCATGTTCGTACGGACTACATTTGTACATGTACGCAACATTAACAGTACATTCATAAACAAACTTTTTCGATAATTCACAAGGCATTGTCGATTTAGATGGCAAATAAGCAAGGCGAAAATATGCACAATTGTAATATACAAAACATTAATGTGTTTCTATTTTATTAAACTCCAATTCAAGCCTTGCTCTTTCTAAAAACCAAGCAAACTGTTCCACTGTAAGCCTCAAAATTTAAAGCTCACCAAAGAAAGAAAATTTGAGAAATTCCTTCCAAGAATACCAGTTTTTATCTTGGATTTATAAGATCATGACTATAAATAATGAAAGTATTTTCCAATCAGAATCAGGACCTAAAGCTCATTCATTTCACATGACCGATCATGTTGATTTTCCAGGCTAGAGTGACTGGTTCCTGTTTAAAAAGACAATTACTGATTTTTTTGCTGGAAAAAATTCCATTTAAGGACCATAGGATGCCACTTATCTTTCCCATCTGTAAGCAATAAAATGTCTGAAAAGTCAAATTTTTTTCACAAGTAAAAATATTTAGGCATTCACTTAGAAAACACTGTTTTCCAGGCCATTCCCCCGTAGGGTTATGTATAAAATGCATAGCTTTGTTTATTTTAAAGGCAAGATGTCCATATCTGGATAGCACATAAATATAGGGCCTACGTACACGGTATGTGCTCACCACCAAGTAGAACTTGACAACATTGATTACTGAACATGGTAGCAACTTTCACCCCACTGTGTAAGTTGTGTAAACTTAGGAATATGGAAGAATATGGAACTCTTTGACTTGCTTTGTGTTCTCCATTGAAGGACAAGTACACAGTCAAGTTTGAAAAGCTGTTCATGAAACTTGAAAATCAAGGTGGTCGTACACGAACTCTTTCCATGTAATTCAGTGTTGTTGAATTTATTTCCCTTTCTGTATTTCCATGGAGGGAATGCTCTTTTTCTCCCTTGTGTGTCTGTTTTATGTCATTTAAAGCGGCCCTAATGTAGATCCACTTTCGTCACATTTCATTTGGTAGCCCCCCGGAAGTTAAAGAAAAAAATGGCCGATGACGAGGACTTTGAGAGACAGCTCCAGCTGGAAAAGGAAGAGCAGTACAAACAGGAGCAGGGCTACACCTACACTGACCCCAACGACGGCACAGTCTACGAATGGGACACGGGGAAACAGGCCTGGTTTCCAAAGGTAAGAATATACCAAGATTTGCATTGATCTCAGCTGTCCAAAACTCCAGCCGTAGACATTGCACCACCCTCATGCCATGTCTGTTGAAGGAACTGTTTTTGCCAGGTCAAGATGAAGGTCCTTTTTTTTTTCCTACTCAGAGTTTGAAATTGTTTGAATGCATTTTCGTAACCTCTCTCGTGTTTGCTTGATGTTAGGATTCCTAGTTGATTGACTCGTTCCGCGCTGGACTCGTCTAGGCTTACTCCTCCAAAAACTAGGCTGTCTTTTGCTGGCGAGGGGATGTTTTCTGTGGCTGGTCCCCATCTCTGGAACCAGCTTGAAGTTTATCTTAGAGAGTCTAGGAATGTGGAGACCGGGCTGAAGATGCACCTCTCTAAACAAGTTTTTTTGTTTCTTAGTATTGATTTTGATTATGGTACATGTAGGTTATATTTATTTATCTATATTTTGATGTACAGTCCCTGGGAGCAGTTTGATGGATTGGGCGCTTTATAAATGTCAATTACTATTATTGTTATTATTATTAAGAATGATCATAGATTAGCCAGTGTGTTATCATTGATAACGCAACCTCTGACACATGGTCACCTCAGGGCACGTTTGAGCGAAAGCTAAAGTTAACCGTAGTTCACCCGACACGGTCTGTTCGATGGATGGGCTGGACCCTTCCACTGGACAAGTTAGAACCAGGCCTCAGGCGTGGTCACACCGCTGGTTATCAGCAGCGGGTTTCATCTATTGGGATCCACGGAAGGAACCATTCACAAGAAAATATCGTACTAGAAGTGGAACGGCAGAATGCAAGTGATGACGGAATTGTACGGCGTAGTTCAAGTGGGAACATTCAGGCTGTGCTTTTGCGCACGCTCATTGTTGAAGAGCAAACTAGTGGTTGAACTGGAGCCGCTGTTGGATCCTGTGGTGGCTGGCGACCACAGACTTTGAGGTTGTTAGCCCTGGGTAGGCAAACCGCTTTGACAAATGGTGCAGACTGATGAGTCTGGCAGATTTTGTTGTCGACATATACCACAGGGTTAGGGTTGAGGCTATCAAATAGGGTCACCATTTGTGTTCATTCCGCTGACATTATCTCAGGTGGATGAAGATTTCCTCGCTGCATACCAAGCCAACTATGGCGTCAACACTGACGAGCAGAGCGTGAAGTCCTACTACGAGCAGTATGCGGCCCAGCTGGCATCGGAACAGCCCAAACTGGAGAACTCGGAGAGCGAGGAAGAAGACGACGATGACGATGATGATGACGACGATGATGAAAACCCAGAGGGGGCAAAGAAGTTCGGAGCAGAAGAGCCCAAGAAGGAAGCAGGGGAGGGGCAGAAGGCCAAGGGAGCCCAGAAGAGGAAGGCGGAAGAAGGTAGATTTTCCTTGAACCTAACTTCTTTTGTAGAACTGAGAGTATTAGGGGATCAGGCTGGTGTAGTGGCTCTTTCCTCACCTTCCGCCTCTGTTGCTTGGGTTCGAATCCCACCTAGGTCAGCACGTGAATTGGGTTTTCGGTCCCTACCTGATTTTACAGGCTTTCCCTGGATAAATTCACCCAGGGTATTCCACCCACCTCCAAAACTGACCATTTCTTCATCGTGAGGGCCCGCAACTAATCAGCTTCGGATGGACGGGTCACCCTTATTAAAGATGGTATCAGAAACGTTTGCTCTCTGTGATGTAGTAAAACTCCAGATTGTATCTTGTTAAGGCTGTGGCCTACTCAGAGAGAATGGCACTGTTTGGCGTACTGGAAAGGGCAAAGAGGAATCGTGTGGCATGTGCATGCTCACTTACGACAATAAGTGGCCCAGAGCGGGAGGCCAGTGGATGGCCAATTATCACTTGAATGTGCACAAAGAGAAACGCATATCACCTTGCTGTGAGAGGAATGGGCTGGAGTGTTGGAACCTTCCTGAATCCTCAGAAAATTCCCTGAGCTGGAATCCACTGGTATTTGTCGATAAACTGTTACCAAGGGGTACAAGTTCCATGGAATTACAGTATTTGCTATATCAATACTGCATTCCTTCCAACACAGCATGTGCACCCAAACCTTGTCGTTGATTTAGAAGGACTTGGAAAGGCGGGGGTTCACAGAAAAATGACCATACCTGTGTGAACCACTTAAGACCTACGCAGGTTAAATCTCATGTCCCCAGTGTGGTTTATGGATGTCTCAAAGATGACTCCTGGACTTGTTTCAAATCCAAGGCACCTGTGAGGATTATGACTGGCAGGGTAACTGAAAAGGCAAGGCGGCATATGTGAGAATTGCTTGCTCTGTTTTTCCGCTCGCCAAACGATATTCCAGGGTGGTTCGAGATCGACGACACCAAGAACACCAACGTCTACGTCAGTGGCCTGCCCTTGGACACCACCCTGCCGGAGTTTGAGGAGCTGATGCAGAAGTGCGGGCTGATCATGTTTGACGAGGAGAAGCAGGAGAACAAGATTAAGCTATACTTGGATGAGCACGGCAACGTCAAAGGCGACGGCCGCTGCTGTTACTTGAAGGTGAGAAATGTTCAGAGGGACCTATTTCACAGACCTGCATGGTGCAGAAATCTGCTAAGCGTAGACAAGTTGTGCTTCACAGAAACTGGTTACCAGCCAAAGTACTGTGCAGAGCTATATTACATGACACTGGTACCTAGCTCATATTTGCTTATGCCTACATTTACCTAAGCCGAATTGGCAGCTGCATGAGACTGGGTTGTGGTCGGTGAATGGTTCTTGAGCGTAATCAGCTCAAATGTTAGATTCACCAAGGACCAGTATTTGAAAGCAGTTCATGGTAAGGTGTCACTTAGCAGATTTGTGTCCCAAGCAACAACCATCCGAGAGCCAGCTATAGGAAATACGTCGCACGTGATATTTTGGCCGGTGATCTGTGTTTGTAGGGCTGCGTCTCGGTGTGCTGTAATGTACAGTTAATTTTGCACAGATTGCATTGCCCGTGATCCAGCACAGTGGCTGTGTTTCTTGGGGTTGGACTCAGCAACTTTTCTTGACGTTTCAATTTCCTTTTTTTCCCCCTCGTCTGCTTTTCAGAGGGAGTCAGTCGGCCTTGCCGTACAGATACTGGACGACTCCGTCATCCGAGGCCACAAAATCCACGTCGAGCTGGCCAAGTTTGAGATGAAAGGGGACTACAAGCCGCTGCCAAAAAAGAAGAAGAAGCCGAAGAAGAAAAAGAAAAATCTCCAGGAGAAGTACGAGTGTGTTTTTTAAATATTCCATATTGTCTAACAGTGGCTCTTGTGCTCTTGCTTAGAAGAAGCTAAAGATGAAAATGAAAAAAAAAGAAAATCCCAGGAAGAGGAAGATTTCTTCTTTAGTAATAACACGTAGGGTTCAGATGAACAGCTGTCGTTGATCGCCTTTGTGACACCATCAAGAACTGGTTAACATGGGAAATGTAGTATCCCGGGGTTTTTTTTGTGTGTGCTTCCGCCATTACATTAACAGATCAGAACTTGAAATTACGGTTTGGACATTTGCCGTCTTCTGACCACTTTTGGTGTCTGACCGAAAGCAGATGTGATCGGGCCATATACCCAAAGAAAATGTAACAACAGAAGGCGCAGAAGCAAAATCCTGGTGTTTTTACTCAGGTTCTCAAAAGGAGAGGAGAGAGTGTGTTCTCATGTGATGCTATGTCTGATCAGAAGCGGATAATGGTTGAATGGAATTGACCTTCTAAGTATATTTTATCCCACCGGGTTTTTATCCCAATTTCTTTCACTGCAAAGAATGTGACCCACTCTGTGAAAATGAGCCTTAAGTCGTCAGAGCCACTTTGGAGTAAAAGGTCCTTTAGAATAATTTTGCACAGTGTAAATCAATAGGAACCTGAAGCATTTTTCACCATGGAGTATCCACTTTCATCAGGATGCCAAATTGAGTGATGCTTCAAAACAAAAAACTCAATTTGCTCTTTCCAATACAAATGAAAACTCGAAAAGTGGCTCTGGCGACTTAAGACTCATTTGCACAGAGTGGGTCACAGATGTGAACCAGTAATGGCTGGCCAATAAGATGTAATTGTTATGTCTGTTGTTGTTGGTAAAGGTTGCTAGATTGGAGGCCGGAGAAGAAGTTCCATCAGCGTAAGAGAAACGAGCAGGTGGTCATCATCAAGCATTTGTTCCACCCAGATGAATTTGAGGTGAGTCTTCTCATTTCATGTTACTTTTGAAATTGTTTCGCTGATGTGAATGCTTTGTTTGCTCGTGGTCTCTCGTCTGCTGACGTTTATCAAATGCTGCCCTCCAAGATCCTTCCAAAACCACCATGAAATTGTCCAGGGTTTTATACCGGTAAGATTAATGAAGGTAGAGCCAAGACGTAATATGACATGGGGTTTGATGCTCCCGTGAAGATTCTGTAGCATGACCATGCCTGTGGTTTCTGCGTAGCGGAGGATCCTCCAGGACCCAGAAGGGCTCTAGCAAAAATACCGATAAGGCATAGGGCCGCTGTAATGTATGATGTGTCATTTTAGTCGTCTGTGACTTTAACACGATGGAATGTTTTCCTTCAGTGCGGAATTAACCACTTCCTGCAGGGCGACCCTTTTTCGAGCACATAGGTTTTATATGCAGAGCCAGGGAGCCCAGAACTGAGGCAAAAGAGTTGGGCCTTCTAAGACCGTGCTCAGCTCAAAAGACTGAGCTGCTGGACATTACCAACAGTATTTCGCTCTCAATAGTGGAGATAATCCAGCCTTATTTTGAAAAAGTGTACTATGGTTCGGGGCATTTAGAGTGAGCGGATTACCACCGGGGACAAATGCTCTCCACCACCACAGCGATGAGCCACACAGCACCGCTGGACGCTAATCTGGCCCCTATTGAAAAGAGGTCAGCAGTGCACTGTGCCGGTTTCGGGAACAAAAGAATCTTACGTAATATCCCACAATCTGGGCTCTTTTTCCAAGGCTGCAGGCCTGGCTGAAATATTCAAAAGTCAATGAAGGGCACCTGCCAGCTTTAGAGTAGTGCTCAAAGAGTCCTTCATGTGGGTGTAAACGGCCATAAAATGAAATGATGAATTTTTGAACAATTTTGAAAACGGAAAATCTTGAAAAGGACCCGGCATCTTGTCTTGCTCAAGAAAAATCCACCCGGCAGCAAGTGGTTAAGAACTATTAGTTCTCAACAGTTCTTGACACTTGAAGCACAAGGTTCCAGTGGAGTTAATATACTACAGAACTGCAGTTTGCATCCTGCCTAACTGAAGAAATACACTTTGGATGTTACGTTGGGATCTGTCTGCAGATGTGTAGCTATTTGAATCTGCACTGAATCCTATCTAACTGAAGAAATGCACTTTGGACGTTACGTTGGGATCTGTCTGCAGATGAGTAGCTATTTTAATCTGCACTGAATCCTGTCTGGAGCAAATGACAAATGCTTGGGAGACTGCTTTGGTAGTTTTGGCTTCTAGCAGTAGAGGGTGCATTTCTGAGCCACCATTAGGCTGTGCCTGAGAGAGACCGTGTCCGGATTGCTTGGCTGCGGCTTGGAATCACACACGAGTATACAGTAGCGGCTGCATCCATGTCCCATAGACACGTGTGTCATATCAAGTCATAGCCAAGTAAGTTGCACACAGTGTTTACTTGTCACAGCCGGGAGTAACACTGCTTGTGGCAGCCACTGGCCAATAACCGCAGAGGCAACTTTTCTTTGGAGGAAGTGGGGTACTGCCTTTGACAGACGAGGGCGCTATATCCACCTTCTGCTTGCAAAGCCTGGCTTGATACATGCAGTTACCTCAGGCAGAATTGAACCTCGTCGGGGTAGCAGAGTTAGGCAACGTGTGATGTTGGAGAAACCGAGAAAGCCTTGACTTGTAGGCATAAGGGCCAAAAGGAAAGTTTGAGGCCTACATTTTTAATCACAGTCAATCTTTATGGACACATATGTGACACTTGTGTAGCACAGAATATTTAAGAGTGGAGAAGAATCTAAAAAGTGAATAAAATCCTAGCCAAAACCTTACATACATTGTCAAAATCGCTCTCACAAATTTTTTCTGTCCAGATTAAAAAAAATTTAACTGACTCATTGTGATCCGGAAGTTATTGCGTGTTTAGAAATGTACGTGTTTGCAGTAATTGTATGTTGTGGCACATTAGACAAGGAGGTCAACTTTGGGACACACAGATCAATGGAGACGTGAGCTTGGAATCCAAGAGTGATACCACATGGGCACTCTTTGCCCACATGCTTGAAGCTATGGACGGCAACAAGGTTGTACCAGTTAACTGTTTGCAGTCCTCCTTGACACCCCGTCAACCTCAGCCGAACTGCCTGGCTAAAAAGCGAAAATCGATGCCAGTACAGGGTTTCCACAGCCTGGAAAAGTTGTGGAAAAAGTCATGGAAATTTGTTTCCGTTTTCCAGGCCTGGAAAAGTCATGGAATTTGGTAAAGATGACCATTAAAAGTCAAGGAAAAGTCATGGAATTTTTCAAACACTGTGTGTGATTTTCTATTCTCAGAAATAAGCGCATAGAATGTGTGATTGTATTTGCAACTTAATAGGTCGAATAGTCCAAGAAGTTGTGTTATTGGGTCATGGATTTTCATAATTAGGTCTCGGAAAAGTCATGGAAAAGTCATAGAATTGTCCTTCGGGTGCAGGAAGCCTGCAATATTACTGGTTTGCAGAAAGCCCTCTGGGATCTTTCCATTGTTTTATTTTCCTGTGGCCTCAGTATTTGAAAGCCAATTTCTTTCCCTTCCATTTATTGGAATTCCCAGTATCTTTTTACACAGCGTCCCCTATGGTAACTCTGTCAGCCTTCTGTCGAGTCTGCTCCCCCCCCCCCCAAAAAAAAAGAGAAGAGAAGGGATCTGTCAACTGCAGAGCGTTTGCTGTGCAGCTGTTTCCCCCAGCCGGGGCCACGCTTCATTTGTTGAATAATATGCCGAGAGGTCAGAGGTCCAATTGAAATCTGTGATCACTCCTTAAAAAAAAGAAAACAGGTGAACTCAGATTACACCCTGAAGTCACCTAGGTGTCGTGGCTCAATTCCCCTTGTGGTCTCAACACCTCATGAGTTGGGGGGAAGAGGACTTTATATCCCCGCTCCAGGGTGTTATTTATGCATTCCCTTGTACCTGTACATCTGTTACACCGGGTTTAATGGATGCAGGAATTTCAGAATTGGTCCTTGCTGAAACCGGGAAGGAAAAGCGATGTGGGTGTTGAAGACGATGGGTTTTAAACTAAAGCTTCGTGCTCTCTTTTACCGCTGCAATTTCAATCACTTCAGGCCCCTTTGACACTTCAGGCCCCTTTGACACTTCAGGCCCCTTTGACATGTTTTTTAACCACTTGGAAAGGAAACAAAAATAAACCGTATAACTAATGTTAGAGCTGTTGGTAACATGTTCTGACCTATAGCTTTTCCATGCAATGGTTGTTTCTCCGGTTTTTCCATTCACTCCACAACTATGCCATGCCAAAGTTTTTTTTAAAGGGTTTTCGTAGAGTGTACATTTGTGTAAATTCCTCATTGTGTGGGTGGCTTTCCATTTGCACGCTTGCATGTTAAGCAACAATTTAGGATGGAACCAGGGTTGCAGTTTTCCAAGAAAAGTGTTGAGTGCTTTACGAAAGCCTTAAGCTGGACTCGGAGGGTTCAAATCCCATCTATTGTAACATCTTACCTTTTCCTTTGGACCTATAGAAAGCCTGCATTGCTCATGCAGCACTGAAAAGGGGTATTTTTTTTTCAGCCGACGACGTAGGATTTATATTTTTCTTTCAGGCGTGTGTGCCGTGACCACAGTATTTTTTACCATGCATTATTCTAGCAATTTGTCAAGAAGTGGTTGGAATTCTTTTCACCTGTTCCGGGGGTCGCCAGTGGCCGAATTTTCCTGGTGCCATTATCCCACGTTGATTTATCATGTCGGCTTCCAATATCTCTGCCTGGATTCCTCTGTCAAAAGGTTCCTTGGGGTCCTCAGGGGAAAGGGGACCCCGAGCAAGAAAGGAAGAATGAGGGAGAGACGGAGGAGTGTGATTACCGTTGCACTGTATCTATTGGTTACCTTGTGCTATGGTTGTCTTCCCAATGTACACCGTACACAGAAATTGGGTTGAAAATGTGGCTTATCCTTAAGAAGCCAGAGGTGTTTTTTTTTCTTTTTTTCCGTACATCGAAGAGACACATATTTGTAAGGTACACATTCATGTACATATAATTGTAAAAATACATTAGTAGATTAGTTTGATAGTTTGTTTGTCAGTTCCAAACATTATCGTTGATTTAGGGCTTTGTATATGCATTTTTTCTCTGGTAAAGAAAATGAAGGAAAAAACCTGATTGAAATGTTCGCCCATTTTTTAGGTGACACCTGCAACGTGACAACTGTATGCGATGAAAGGAAGTGTTTGTTTCTTTAGTAATGCTGTCGAGCAGTTGAAGTGGAATTAATTATTTAAGCACAACCAACTGAAAAATGAGCTTATTGGAGTGGCTCACAGCGAGTTGCAGGGGGAGAGGACTCCGCAACATCTCTGCTGTTCTGTGCCTGATCATTGTAAAACTTGATCTGCATGTGAACTCGTTCAGTACACAGAAGTACAAGTATGTGGATGTACATTTGTGAACTTTCAAATAAACCCGACATTTGTGTAAGGCTTCGTTGTTATCGTCAGTTAAAGTTTACCGTCTCACACCGTTGGCCCATGCGGTGAGCATGTCCAGCACATCACTGGGGGAAAGACATCTTGGGTTGACCTACCTCAAAAAACGAGCAAGACTAATTATAAAATTTGAAAAAAAACCCCAAAATTTGACAGTATCGGAAAAAATGTCTCGGGAGGGGGGGATGGATTTCGACCCCTATTCGTCTCGTAAGTGTGACGCCACTTTAGTTTAAACAAGGCCCGCTGCACATGAAGTTACGTGCATTGATCACCGTTTACATGGAACCATGGAAGTTAACCGGAAATTAACGCGCAACTTCAGTGATCGTCCAATGGGAGCCTGCAAATTGTGGCACGCCTGCCTTTGTGACAAAGTCTCTCACGAACCGGATAGGGTTATTGAATGACTCACTGAAAGATTCTCAGTGCCACTTGCAAGCCGCTCACTCCCCTTCCTCCTACCCTAGTGGCCCTCCCCCCTCTTCTTTCCTCACGCCCC